GTGGGATGTATGGTGATTCCCGCCTCTAATAGGTGTATTTGCTAAAAATCTCAGACGAGTTTGAATGTGAGTGACTTCAACCTCAAGGTCAGAGGTCAGTTTTTTTTCCACTATTGTTCTGATCACACTTTATCAGTACTGGCAAATGGCTGCCCATCCCTGAGCCTGGTTCTGCTGGAGGTGTCTTCCTTTTAAAAGGGAGTTTTTCATTCCTACTGTTGCCAAGTGCTTGCTTAAAGGAGTTTGTGTGATTGTTGAGGTTTTCTCTCTAATATTGTAGAGTCTTTAACTTACAATATTAAAGTGCCTGACTCTTGTGATTTGCTACTATATAAATACAATTGAAGTTGAGTTGTGAAGCAACTTTCACACCAGTGAAGCACTAGTGTGAAAGACACTGTTGAGATGAAAAAGATTGAATAAATAATTAAATGTTAGAAGTTTAACAGTAAAGGGACAAAGGTGTATTCTTGGATTTTTGATACTTTAAAGTTGCATCTTCAGTGCTGTTAGTTACAGAAGAGAAAAAAACATGAAAAAATGTGTATTGCCATTATAGTCAAGATGGAAGTCAGAGACTTGAATTCATTAATATGTCATTTTGCAGACCTTCTCACTGTATAATAATGTGCTTTTCAAAACATTTTATAATTTGTGTGTACAATTTCTTTGTCTTCTGTGCACTTTGCCTCTTATAGATCGTAAGTGTAACCCCAGCCTGTTGAGTCTAGTGTCAAACGTCAACACCACTCAACCGTCTGGTGGCAGCCCTACAGGACAGGTGCAGTGGTGGGATGCTCAGGGCATTGTGGGATTGATCATCTTCCTCTTTTGTACTCTCTATGCCAGGTAAGATTAGCAGTGCCGGCAAATAACATATGTTCTGTTTTATTTACTTTTGTTAAACTTCCTCATTCTGTCTCTCCCTCAGTATCCGTTCATCCAGCAACACCCAGGTAAACAAGCTGATGCAGACAGAGGAGGGCGGAGGGTCAGGTGGAGAGGGTGTGGTTGGAGAGGATGGTATCCGCAGGGCTGTTGACAATGAAGAGGAGAGTGTCACTTACAACTACTCCTTTTTCCATTTCCACCTCTGTCTGGCCTCTTTGTACATCATGATGACTCTTACCAACTGGTACAAGTAAGTACTCACAGCAGACTGACAGACATGAAGCAACAGCTACGATATGAGACTTTTGACCCTGACTGTGAATTTAAAATCCATAATTTTCAGCTTTATCAGTTACTTACATACAGCTACTTGTGATCGTGGCACAGTAGCAGTGGAGATCCTTGGTAAAACATTTAAAGATAAAAAACAAAACAAAGGATAAAACATGTTTCAATGTTTATGTGGTGGTTTAAAGTTCTGACACCCTCCAATCGAACCACCAGAGGGCACACTAGTTCACCTGAAAGTTCTTCATTCTTTCAGCACAGATTGAATGTCAGCCTCATGAATCATCTCGGTTTAGATGAACCTCACCCACCACCACAGTATCTTTGTTTTTTCTTTCTTTTGTGAAAGAAAAAGAGTTGTCATGTATCTAGAGGAAGTGTGGATGAATTTTCGAACATGTGGTAGGTTTAGTTGGTGTAAACTAAATTGCTACTTTTCCCTCTGTGTCCTCCAACAGACCAGAAACCAACACCCAGGTCATGCAGAGCACTATGCCAGCTGTTTGGGTGAAGATGAGTTCCAGCTGGCTGGGCCTCGGGCTTTACCTTTGGACCCTCATTGCCCCTCTTATTTTCCCTGACAGGGATTTCAGCTGAGCGTACATCATCTTTCACTTATATTTGATTATTTGTTTTCTGTTTTTTGGCGGCTGGTGAAGTCAAGTTGCTAAGAAGGAAAGAATGTTATTAAGAATTTTCATTTCTTGACATTTCTGTTTTGTTTTTACATTTGTATGTGTTGTTATTGTGTTTGTGTTGGTTTACACCTCTTGGTTGGCTTATTTGGTGTTATAATTACTACAGATATTGTTTAAGAAGATTTTAAATGTTTGGTAAGTTTATAGAGTCTTTACTTACCCATGGGAATTTTTCATTTTCCAGTGACTCACATTAATAGGCTTGCCCCCTACCTTCTGTAGTGTGAGCATATAAGCATTTTAAATTCCATAACAACGACTCAGCAACAAGGCACTTTCTCAATACCTCAGACATTTCAGTTAGATTCCCTTTTAAAGGTCTTTCAGATCAGAGCTCTCTGATTGGCTCAATCTGGAATACCCCTGATTAGCTGTACTCCTTTACTGCAGGGGGCACCGAGGAGAGCCCTGATCGGGAGCCTCAGAATGAGGTGACTGTTAAAACTAGATAAGACTAATATGGCACGCCCTTCAGATCATAACAGGGCTTCCCCGCAGCTACTAGGCTGCAAGCAAATCCATGTAATTGCACCTTGAGCAAGAGTGTCCTAATACAGTGGTCCCCAATCTTTTTTGCGCCACGGACCGGTTTATGCCTGACATTATTTTCACGGACCGGCCTTTAAGGTGTCGCGGATAAATACAACAAAATAAAACTAGTACCGTTACCGAAAAAAAGATTTATTCATAACACACGTGAAAAGACCCAGGAAAACCGGGTTAATGATAAAAACGATAACAAAATAACGCTGAAAACTGATAAAAACCCTGAAAACCATACATTTCACACCTGAGCCTCAACTATCGCGGCCCGGTACCAAACGACTCACGGACTGGTACTGGTCCGAGGCGCGGGGGTTGGGGACCACTGTCCTAATAGACAGCCAGTCTAATCTCAGCTCTTCCTCGTCTGCTCCAAGCTAAGATGATTTTTCTCCGGTGCTAAGCTTTTCCATGCCTCTGACAGCCACAGACAACAGTGTTTATGTCATGTATAGCAAACTGTTTACAGCAAGGAGACTTGTATTGATCCATAGCAGTCAGCATCATGCAGTGTGCAGTGGTATGGTTCAGGAGGTGAAGCATAAATCCCACACTACCTGCATTTATAAATGCCATTATAGTAAGGAGGTTGCACCGTGAATTATTGGGCTAAAAACTGGATTTTTAAATGTCTCAATGTACAAAACAATAATAATGCATTTTCAAATTGCTGTTATTGATTTTTATTGCTGGTATTGACTTTCGTAGTGATTCGATGGCTGTAATGGTGATACAGTACTCTTACATATGCATTATATAGTTGTTACCTCAATTTCAGTATGACTGGAATGAGTTGATATAAGGTAAGGTAAGTTGTAATTGTGGAAAGTTTTTGGTACAATCCTGATTTACAGTTGTCATTTTCAGACATTTCGCTGGACACACACATGAATCAGATGTTGTTTCTTTGGCTGCATATGAGTGTAGTGAATGCAGTTTTTCAAGTTTTCTGATTGATTTAACTTTTTTTTTAATGTTGTTTATATATTTTGTCACATTAAGGGGAATATTACAGATAAATTTCATGCGTTGGATCATAATTTAAAATTTCATAACACAATTAAGTGCCTTTCTGTAGTTCCACTTTTCAAAAAGTATCCTAATAGATCACTAATGCTGATGTGCTTACTACACCTTGCCTTACATCGTGGCGATCTGGTCATTGCATGCCATAAAGCACTGGTCTGTAACATAAACTGTAAATGTAATTTATGTATAGACTCAGTTTTTAATAAAGATGGACGCTTCTCCACTCATTGTTTTAAATGAGTCTCAATACAAACTTTGGATTAAATAAATAAATCACAACTACAAACGTGGAGTTTTACACCAAAACCTGTTTGTGGGCAGAGCTGTGCTTGTTTCTTTGGTGGCTTTGCCATTGTAGGGCTGTTCAGGTTTCTTGTTATAGATTGGACATAAATCCTTCATGCTTATGGGTGCTAATGGTGGACGCAGGCTGATTGCACTCTTTTCCTAACATGTAGATTAAAGTGATGAGGCACCAGAGTCTGGGACTGAGAAGGAGCTCACAGGCGCTAATGTGCTGATTTGTATCTGTCCATCAGTTGTGTGATTGGGGGACACTCATCAGCTGCTAATGCTTTGCTGATTGTACTTGTAGTTATCTTGTTGTCACACGAGTACAACGCTAAACTGAAAGTGAACCATTTCCAGTCTATAAAAGGGTTCAGCTCTCACCATGTTTTACACATTTGTTCTTAACTCGAAATCAAAGCAGCAAAATGTGTGCAATCGCTCCTCTCTGCTGGTACAGAGACAGCACAGTGTGTGCCAATCTCCGCTGTGTTATTTCCTCCTTGCCTGGCTGGTAGACAGGACATGTTGGTTTTGGCTGCTGCACTCACTCAATCCAGTCGTCTCTGAATGTGGAAATATTCAGGACATACTGCCTCCTGTGGACCTCCACCCTCCCGCAGCAACACCCCTCCATCAGCCTATCCATTTCAATCCTGAGTTGATGGATTGTGCCTGTTTGACAGACTGAAATCGGATTTATTTCACTTTAAGCTGAGGAAATAAATACTTCCTAAACACTGTGGGGAAGATGACAACACTTCACTAAATCCTTAAAGAAAACAGCTATAAAAATAGCACTGAGTCTTTAAAAAAAGTCCAAAACTGTGAAATTACGACTATTCAACAGATTTAAATTTTGGACAAGCTGGGAAAACACAACTGCCACAGGAGAGGACAGCAGTTGTGTGCGCTGCAACATCTGCGTAAAGGACTTGACTGAAAAACTGAACAATTTTTAACTGCAGCTGCAGGCGTTGTATCCAATGCTCTGTTTCTGCATTTGGCTTGTTGTGATGTGGTGATGCTGGAACACTGCGCATTGCATGCATGTTTGCCAGCCTTTCCTTTTGGCTTTTTGCAGTTTTTGTCTGCATACTTGTGCCTGACATGTGACTTCACTTCGTGGAGGAACAGGGTGCATGTCAAGTCTTGTGTAATCACTGTCAAACGCACAGGCATTTGTAGTAAACTACCAAAACTGAAAGAAGCCATGTCTGTCCTCTGACAGGAGCAGGCTTGCAGCACATCCTCCAAATCTCTGACGCTTTGACCCCACAAAACGGTTTTATCTCCTATTTCTTCATTTCTCCCTCACTGACTGGAGCGTTTACATTATAAAACAATCAGACTTATTAAACAAACACTCTTCTTTCATTAGCCCCATCTGAAATGTAACAGCCTCTGAATTCAGGCAGCACCAGCACCCGAGAACAAATTAGCCAGGCGTCATAAATTTCACTTTTATTTCCCCTGCTATCATCAGGTGTACAAATGTGAGATCTGGTTTTCTCATTGAGTAGATTTAAGACTCTCCTCGTCCTCGGCCATTGGCTCCAGCGTCATAAATCTCACTTTCATTTCCTCTGTTATCATCAGATGCAATTTGTCGCCGCAATAATCAGGAGCTGTAATGTGCTGATTATGAGCCACTTAGTGTAGCTCTGCAGCCATGCTTAGTTAGGCCTGCTGGGATTTTTAATTTTAGGTTGATTCAGACAATCGTTATCACTTGCAGTGTTAGCCCTGACCTTAATCTCGTCTTGCAAATGTCAGTGTTTGGCCGCATTTTAGTCAAGAACGAGTTCCGCCTCCGCACTAAAGCATGAGACTATTTCAGTTTTGTTTCGCACTTTCATATTGCAAATATTGAACAGTGAGCGGCGTTGACTTCTCCTGATGCTGATTTAGATAAGTACCGTTTTTGTTAGGGGTTATGCATCCCTGACCACCTCTTTGACGGAATGACTGGAAATGCCTGTCTGAGGTGTAATTGGGTTTTAAGAGTGGAATCCAGGCCCATTAAATTATGCACTGCATGCAGGGGAGCTAATTGAGTTTGGACCCTGCTGGCATACTGCACGAGCACTGGAAACATTTACCCAACATTAAGCCCCAATTAGGCTTTTCGGGATTGGAAACTTGTTGCGGGATGATGGGAAGATGCTGATGCCCGACAGACTGCGCTGTGCAGTTTCTCTCCACTAAATATGTATGGTCCGCTAACAGCGCTGCTCGTTCCTGTTGAACTGATGAACTTCCTCTGTATTTCCACATTCTCGCACTCGCGCAGCACAGGCTACAGTGCAAAGCAGTCCCTCTGCTCTAAGCTGGAGGTCTACAAGTCTGAGTGTGTGCGCATGCTCTCTCTCAGCTCAGAGGAGCAGCTAATGCAGTTATATAATAGTTAGTGCAGCCGGCGTCTGCTGTGAGCCAAATGCCAGGCCGGTCTGGTTACATAAGCTCGTCAGAGTCATATTGTAGCACTCCGGAGCGCTCACGCCACAGCATGTCCCCGCTCCTTTCACTGTCTCTTCCTCCGTCTCTCACTTCCTAACGCCGTTTTTCTTTGCTTTCCCATCCTCTCCTTTCTACACCTCTCCTCGCATCCACCCCTCCCTCTCAACCTCCCTCGCACTTTTCCTTTCCTTTTCCCC